AACTTCCCACCTGGCACAACAAGATGATATGTTGTTTCTTGCCCAAACGAACCGTAAAGCGCAAGGGAAACCTAAAAACCACATGCTTGTGGTGTCCAGTGCCTTTGACACCTAAAAACAACAAACAACAAAAACAACTCGCCAAGAACACGACCTTCGCCGACCGGACCCCAACGACCCAAACGACCTGGCGCCGTCCGGACGCCGAAAACGGGCGGCCTCGGAGCCCGAGTCGGCATGGCGCTCCGTGGGAAGCTCCTGCTTCGACGGTTTCGCCCGTTTCGCGAGGCGCGAGGCGCGGTTCGCCACCCCCGCCACCGGTGTCGATCGATCCAGTGAAGAGACTCGTTTGCCGACCGAGACCATCCGAGACCGAACCTGAGAGAAAACCACGGTCGGATCGGTCTTTTGTCATCGTCTTCCAGTCTGCTATCAGCCCGGTTCCGGTCTCATTTCCCGGTGTATACATGGCACCAAGTGTGATAGCAGTTTGGGGGTTTGGTTTTTGAACCCCATCGAATTCGGACATCGTTTTTGTTCGGGTTCTACCATTTTGCGCTGTGCTCGCTTGTGATCAACATGTGCCTGCTGTCCAAAGTGTTCCGTCCACTCGAATGGCCTGGAAAAACCATCCAGATGTCCGTCTTGTCATCAATCTCCCGATGAAGAAGTCGACGGTCGAAACCGAAAAAAGTGCCTTCATTTGCAACAGTTTGCTACAGTTTGCTGTTCTTGGACGCTTTTCTGGACGTCCTATAATAATACTATAGAAACCACGTGTTGAATCGGCCAATGATTTGGAACAGCCCCTCCTGATCCTGGCAGACCATCCTTGGCTCAAGCCTCAGTTGCGGGGGGAGGAGGATTGAGATTGAACGAGTTTCTCCAACAAAGATCTTATACATGCTTATGATTCAGGGTCTATGACGCATAAGTTCAGATGTGATTCATCTTCAAATTGCAGAACACTAGCTGCCTCATATGTGGCATAGCGAGTGATAGCTGATAGCCCTGGCCCCGGCCATCCTTCCTCTCGAAAATTCTCAAAAACTGCCTGAGCCAATCCAAGACGTGACTCCACGAATTGATGACTCCACACCTTCTCTCGGCCCACATCGACTCCGCCGGGGCACTGGGGCACGGGAGCTGTGGGGCACTGGGGCACTGCTTGCATTGGCGCGGCACAGGAGGGTTGCCAAGGTCCTGAGAGTTTCTAGGCACATGATAGACACAGCATGGAACAGCACGTCGCGTGTCGGTTGCCCAAGTAGGGCACCATCGGTTGACCAAGCAACGTGCCCAGTGGACGCACTGTTTGTCCTAAAATTGCGTCAAGAAAAGCGCCTGGCATGCCTTCAAGAAGGATGAGTTCGAGCAAATTCGAGGTGTGCGCGATTTATTTCAGCCAACAAAGGTTCCTCAATCAATTTCCCTCCTAGATCCTCGAAGCAAACGCAAGCTCAAACTTCGCTGGAACTCGGGGCTGAACTCGGTTCGTGGGGCGAGGGCGGCAACATGATCGTAGTACAAGGGATTCAAAGATGTATGTTACATGGAACAGACATGTATGTATATATATATAGACTAATTGTGATTCCCAATTTAATTTGGGGAATGTGGGCTAGACATGACTAGCCTTATTGGTTGAACATCCATGGAACCTTGGATACACCATGGAAGACCACCATGGAAAACGCGCTCTTTCCGGAATCGACTTTCGGTCCTTGCTGCGTTTGCTGCGCTTGGTGTTCCCGTTGATCAGCAGGATACCATGCCATCGCATAAGGACTGGCCGCGCCGCTTGTGTCGAACGCAGAAATCGAAAGAAGGACGAGGATGATTGGATTAACGATTGAAAATTTGACGGTGTTCTGTTCTTATGTGTTCGGGCAAGAACACGCCAGCAAACCTTTTTTCAGTACTCAGTACCCAGTTTCGCTGCAAGTTTGGGACTGTTTGGGGAGTTCCATTGCAGCTGGTTGCATCCAAAAGACAGAACAAGGAAGCTTGCAAATCGCCGAAGAAGGGTCGGCGCGAATCTCCCAGGAGTCGTTGTCTGCTCCCATGCTCACCGACAAAAGGAACGGAACAAAAAAATACTTTATAAAGAACAAAAAAGCATACTGCATGTGTATAATATGTGTTTATATTATATCCATATTACTATTAGTTTATATATATATATTCCTGTTACATATAACGTATATTGCTATTACTATCCTTTTTACGCTATGGCTCCACTGCCACCCTCACTGGTACGGTGATGTAATCGACTCCTCTATGTAGACGGTCTTGGAGGTGGATCCCCAGGATTTTGTGTTCTATAGCAGCATCGTCCAACAGGTCTCCTCTTGAGGGTTGGGAGGACACTGGTTTTCCCCACCTGTCAGGTGAGGGTTGTTAGATTTTACGTCAGCCCCATCGCCTCCTCCTCCGCCTCCGCCTCCTCCGCCGCCTCGTCCTCCTCCACCTCCTCCGCCGGACCTCAACCGCGACCATCCACGCCCTGTGTTCCCTGCCAGACCTCAACCGCGAGCTCCAGACCCAAGTGTTCCCTGCCGGACCTCAACCACGACCATCCGGGCCAGTGTTCCCTGCCGGACTTCAACCGCGAGCTCCAGGCCCAAGTGTTCCCCACCGGACCTCATCCGCGACCATCCGCACCCAGTGTTCCCTGCCGGACCTCAACCGCGAGCTCCAGGCCCAAGTGTTCCCTGCCGGACCTCAACCACAGCACACAACCACAACCACAATCACAAACACAATCATACCACAACAAACACAATCACAAACACGCTCAAACACAATCACAAACACACTACAAACACAATCACAAACACGCAACCACAAACACACAACCACAAACACAATCACAAACACACAACCACAAACACGCAATCACAAGCACACAACCACAAACACAACCACAACACACAACCACCAACACCAACACGCAACCACAAACACAATCACAAACACACAACCACAAGCACAACCACAAACACAATCACAACCACACAATCACAACCACACAATCACAACCACAAACACCCAGCCACAAACACGCAATGACAAGCACACAACCACAAACACAACCACAGCCACAACGACAAAGACGCAACCACAAGCACCACCACAAACACAAACGCAACCACGAACGCACAACCACAAACACAATCACACAACCACAAACACGTAATCACAAGCACACAACCACAAACACAACCACAACACACAACCACAACTCACAGCACACAACCACAACGCACAACCGGAGGACCCAAGCAAAATCGAGAACCACAAAACTCACCAGATAGACAGCTTCTTCAGATGTCGTCAACCTCAGCCGACAACTGCTGCCAGGTGAAAAATGATCTGAGTTGGGCAGCACAGGTCTTCTGATGAAAGCATTCGCTTCGGACAAAACAGTAAGACTTGGCACTGAAGGACTTGTGCTATGGCCTGAAATACACAAAGAGGATGATGTCAACGTGGCTGTTTTGAAATGTCATGGTGGGGATCTCTCGAAGTAAAGTAATTTCGCTTTTATATGTCATTTTGATTATTATTTGTTTCTTTAAAATTGCACAGGCATGCATAAGCTTCGATGATGTAAACCACAGGGCCTCAGGGGAGTGCAGGTGTTGACCGACTGGTGCTGGCCGGCCGGCACCTCAGTGAAGACTGCGTTCTCGTCGCGTCGTGCCAGGCATATATCTAGATTACGAAAACCAGGCAAGTGCTGCAAAATGAAACTGTTCTTTGGTCCAGCCTTTGAAGAGAACTGCTTCTCAACTTCGTTGACTTGATTCAGATGTTCAGCAAACTGGGCCCCAGGCCAAGATGATCATCTGCTCCTGAGGAGCCTGAGGTGGCATCATGCCCCACCCTCTGACCTGGCGTCCAGGTGAAACACGCCGTTCGGCAAGCCGCCCCGTCTTGGACGCCCGGCGATTGCCTGAACTCCGACCGACACTATATACTCTATGAACGGATATAGTTCAATGGTCGGAGTTCAAAATATGTATTACAAATCCCTTCTTGGGCCATCAAATTCGGAGTTCAAAATATGCTACAAATCCCTTCTTGGACCATCAAATTCGGAGTTCAAAATATGCTACAAATCCCTTCTTGGACCATCAAATTTCACAGCCTCCCCTGGAAGAGGTTGCCAAGAAATGGAATCAGATCGTTCATCAGCACGAAACGCGCTCTTGGACGGTGCGCCTGCTCCCCGTCCGCTCTCGGCGGGGGTACCATGGGCTCCGCTTCGAGGACGAATGCTATGGTACCTGAGACCTATATGGGCTGCGTTCTCAGCCAAAGGAGGCGAATCGACTCGACGAATGCTATGCTCAATCGGTGGAACCAAAGGACCCACTACCACTGAAAACCCTTCCATCTTGTCTGAGCCTGGAGTCCAGGTCTCCATTTTTGTTGGTTTACTTAGTAAACCCCGACGGACGGGACCCGTGGCCAATTGTTGATCGCTTCCCGTTTCTCAGTGTACTGGAACAGTGTATTGGAATTGAACCTCTTGGCCGCTTATGAATCAACATCTAAGAAATAATAGATGCGGGCTGAACACCCGAAACCACTTGCTGAGGCCCCGAGAAACAAAAAGCCTTTCAAGTGGTCGATCACTGATCCGACGAAATAAAACACACTTCCGACGAGTCGTGAAGCGAAGGCCAGGCCGAAAAGCCACCGAAGCGAGAATCACTTCTGGAAATCCCATGGTCGGTGAAGATGTGTTGGGGAAAGCCCATAGATTCTGATTGGTGGGGTGGAAAGGATGATGTTGGCAGCATATGTTGGCGATTCTGGGTGGTCATCTCACAGACCATGGGACATGTGGAATCGTGCGAACTCGTGGTCATAAAATGAGGTAGATGAACGATAGATGTCATGATGTCACTATTCAAGTCCGATGGTCTGGGATGTCCAACCCAGTCACTCCTATTCGTCTTCCGAATCCGCTGTCATCCGTCTTCATGTGCCTTCTCCATCCTCCCAATGCTTGGAACCCGCCACATTCATCACCACTTGAGCTTGCACCGTCACCTGCCACGTCGCCATTTCCCACCGTCTTGAGGGGACGGGAGACCATGAGAGCCAGCGCTGGAGGGATCAAAAAGACGAAGTCATAGCATCACAGTCTAGAATGGAGTCTCCATGCATTCTGTGCCGGAGTCTCCATGTATTGCTCCATTCAGCTGTAGAGCACTCTCTTCCTCTCTTCCTGCAAGATTCCAGGTCATGCACTTGCAGCCTGGTGTGACAAATTTACGGATAGACACCTCACCGGTGAAACAAAAACATCTTGGCAGTTGCCCACTTGGCGGACAAATAAGTCTGACTTCCTGGTACTCTCGTGCACTGCTTCTTCCCATTCCAAGGGTTGATCGAATCGGATCAGCCCAAAGCAATAGCCAACAGCTGCATGCACACATGTATCGGTTTGTGTTTCCAGATATCCCCAACCAACGGGTAGACTGGTCTATGTTTCCTTCCTTCCTGAAGGTCGTTGCCTGGGAGTCTCCTATTTTCAACAATTACATGACCTTAAGGATCCGGTCTGGACCCTCAAAAACCAGGGTTTTCAGAGTAACAAACCCCTGTGGTGTATCGGGTCCAACCCCTGCTAAGGAGGGTCTAAGGATCCTTAGGGCATACATCCATCCATCCCAGCAGTGCTGGTGCTGTACCAGTCGTTGACGCCCTTTTCTCGGAGACCAGCCCTGGAGTTTGTCCAGCTCAAGTCTTAGATGGATCGATGAAGAGTCCAGGAGTCATTCACCAAAAGCGTGGGCAACGGATAGAATATATGATTCAATTCATTTAAAACTCTCTCATCATCTATGGAATCTGTGGTGGAGGGGCAACCAAAAGTGCTACAAAAACAAAACTAGACAAATATAGACAAATTCTGTACCCAAACGCTCCAAACAGCCCTTGGTCGAAACCAATAGGGGGTTGAGACCCCAAACCCCTCCAATGATGAGGGTCCGAACCCTCCATATATGAGGGTCCAGGGTCGCGTCTGGGTACTTGATTTTATACAAAGTTTGATAGCGATGGCCTCCAACATCTCCAACCTACTAGCGATGGCCTCCAACCTACTAGCGATGGGGTCCAACCTACTAGCGATGGGATCCAACCTACTAGCAAGGGTCAAGGGTCGCTTCTCCGCCACGGCTTGCACCAAAGAAGAAGCCCAGTCTTCCAAACCCTCCCACACCACTTCCTTCCACAACGATGAACCCGGAGGATTTTACAACTTCTTCACACATTTTTCCAGGATGCCATGTACATCCGTGCACTCCTAGTTGCGTACAATCTTAAAGAAAAGACATAATCCTGCAGTCACAAAGGGGTGCGATCCATGGAGGTTAGGGGTGCCCACTATCCACTCACTTGGGGACTAAACACCACCCCTTTGTGACTGCTGGATTTCAGATCATGTTTGACAGGTCTTTCTCCAGCGTACTTTCCAACTGGGCAGGACCTTGGACCTTGCCATCGTTTCCAGTGGCCTCTTTCTCCCCCATGGGCAGTTGGAACTTCACCGCAGAGAAATAGCCCAGGCCTCCGTTGGATCAGTGAACTAGAATGCGAAGGGTTTTACTCAGCCGAAACAAATGGACATAATAAAGGGGTCATAAGGGGTCAGTTTGGTAAATTATGGTGGTACACGACCGGGGGTATCCCCTTAAAATAGATCCACTCAATTATATAGTTCACAATTAATAAAACGCAATCTAACCATCCAAAACCGTGTTCACATGTGTTCACACCCATCAATTTACTCTCAAAGGGATCATCCAACATTTGGGGACCTTTCTCCATCTCTCCTTCCATCTCCGACCGGGTCTCTTCTTCAGCCGAACTCGCCCCGAGTTCGGAAAGCAACAACTCTTGGGAGGTTGGGGCGTCGGCGCGTGGAAGTCTCTGGGAAGTCCATTTGGGAGCAGAACAAATGATTTGGGACACCACATCCAAGTGAATTCCGCATGAATCTCTACCCTATGGAAAACTAACATGGACCCTGAAAACCACTGCACTGGAAAACCATGTCCCATCTTCGGGTTCCTTTTCTTCATCTTCCCGGGTGTAATGATTTCATCTGTTTGACGTCGCTGGGGGTTGGCAGCGACCCACCAGATGATCAACATGCATTTCGCCCCTCCAGAGTTCAGTCGGGTCACCAGAGTTCGGCCGCTGTGTTTCTCGTGCTGGTCGTCTCATCGCACAGTGGATGAGGAGTCACACCGACTCAGTCACTCTCGGCACATCCAAAACACACCGACTCTTTCCACCGCGCAAGTCACTCGACCTGTGTCACCCTGAGTCACGAGTTTCTGTAGTAGAAGTGGAGTCAGAATTGAAAGATATTGACAGTTCTTTCTTAATTGTAAAAAGTAATTTCAGGTATATAGTTTCAGTTGTTGGAGTGCTTTCAATCGAAAATAGACCCTAGGGATCCAGTCGTACCGTACCTCAGGAGGTACTTGGACCCTTCAAAGCTACATAACAGTGTCTCCAATCACCTTCTGAGAAGGTACTTGGATCCCTAGGGAGAGGTAACACCTATTTTTGTCGGGTGATGAACTGAGCTTCAACGGACATCCGAGCGATCCGGCCAGGAGCCCTACTAGCTTCTTGTTCAGCCCAAAGTCTTCCCCTTAGTTCTGGGAACTCCTGAGCAATTTCTTGGCCAAAAGGGGTCCAAAGACGTCGAACGAAGGTGCACCCCGGAGGGAGGTAGACCTTCCACTCCACTCTGTCTCCTCCACCACGAACCCAATTACCGGGTGGTCCCGATTCCCGATTCGCTCGCGGCAGCGCGAAAACATCGGTGGCTTAAACTTAGTAAGAGTAAACCTTGATTTATGCCTGGACCCTCCAAAGTACCTTAGAAAATGGGACATGCCCCCATAAAAACAAGTACTTGTACCCATTTTCCAAGGTACTTTGAGACTCAAGGTATATCCCATACACTCCATGGGACTGCCATAGGACTGCCGATCAGGCCAGGGGTGGCTTGGGGGGTCAATGGGGCGGCATATATTCCATACATGGAGTGTATGGGATATATGACCAGGGCCCAGTGGTTGGTTAGGTTGCAGGCCGACATCTCAAACAGGGTGATAATCCTTTAGAGCCGGTCACGCCGGTCTAGGACACACCATGACACACCATATTTTGAGAAGCTTCATCTGCCGGAGGGGGAAAAGCTGTGGAAGACCTACATATCTCTTGCAAGTGGATTTGGTAGGAGTGGTGACCTAGCAACTGCAAACCTATCGCACACTGTGTACACTGCATCTAGCCTGGCGGGCTGGCGGGGAGTGGAGTGTAGTTTTGACCCTCATTCGCAGTCCTGAGACTCAAACCCCCGGAAACGCGCCTTGCGACTTGAACATCCTGGCAGCGACTTGAGTGTTGTGATTGTGATTCATCATCAATGTCTATAGTTGGCGTAGGTGCTGGATAAAGTTCACAGAAAACCTGGTTCTGATTGAGATGTTTCTCATGCGAAAGTGGTTGATCAAGTGATCAACCATCGCTTGACCCGCAGTCCTTCCTACTCTGGGCAAGTCCACATGGTAACCTCTACGTTGGATCACCAACCAACCCAAAAATGGTCAAGCTTCCTATCAAAACAGGGGTCATGTCTGGGCACTGAGTATATTGATTGCAGGTTTTTTGCTTTCATCCCCATCCCTTCAGCATCTCTTAAAGTCTTCTGTCGCATCTACTGCATTGGATTCCAAGAAGCGGATCCCCAGCCCCCATGGTCGATGCGGTGCTTGGGATGGCTGAAGAGGAAAAACATGATCATGAAGCTTTAAATCTTGCACACCTCACATTGTGGCAAGGACTTACAGTAGCTCAAACAAACTGAATAGGAGCAGAATGGTCCGCCCCAGACTGAGGGCTGCTTTTGGTCAGCTTTGATCATGCCCCAAAGAGCAACGCTGGTTCCACTCCAAAACTCGGCTTTACCAAGAACGGAATATATACCCCTCCCTCCCCTCCAATCATCCAAGTGGAGAACACCCTGTTCCCATAGAGGAAAAAAAAAAAGGGTCTGTTCCTATAAGGGGGTCGGCCAGTTCCACTTCCATGTTTGTTGGATGGTATTTCTCCTGCGCCCCTCCTGCCCACCGATGTCTCGAAGCCTTGCCCAACTCGGTCACCCACGTTGCCTTGCCACCAGCTCCATCGAGGAATCACTGGCCTGAAACCCGCACGGCTCCGCAACGCCACACCTACACATCGCGGCCCACCAGCTTCTGTTTTTTCAAGCCTGTCCACTGCTCAACAGTGGAACGCTATGGCTTGGGGATTCGCAGATTCGCGTTTCAAAGCCTGGATCCTGAACCACCATGGTTTTGCGGAGTTGACACAACACCAGATCCTTCCCGAGCGTCTGGTTGCCGGACGCCTCCAGGGGCGAGGTCCGAACCACGCTCGCGTCACGCTGAGAATTCGGACATCGGTGTACCCTCAGACTCCATGGGTTGGGAGTCAGTGCGCACCCATCGGTGGACTACCTGGACCGATCAGGGGTGGAAGAGGGGTCAATGTAAAAAAACAAAATGGAGCCCACGAACCCGAATGCAAACACGTTCGAAAAGCTATATACATATGTCCACATGACACTCTTGTTGGACACTCTTGTGGGACACTCTTGTGGGACACTCTTGTAGGATACTCTTGTGGGTCACTCTTGTAGGACACTCTTGTGGAGCACTCTTACAGGACACTCTTGTGGGACACTCCTGTGGGACACTCTTGTAGGGCACTCTTGTGGGACACTCTTGTAGGAAACTCTCGTGGGTCACTCTTGTAGGACACTCTTGTGGAGCACTCTTACAGGACACTCTTGTGGGACACTCCTGTGGGACACTCTTGTAGGACACTCTTGTAAACTCTTGTGGGACACTCTTGTGGGACACTCTTGTGGGACACTCTTGTGGGACACTCTTATAGGACACTCTTGCGGGACACTCTTGTAGGACACTCTTGTAGGACACTCTTGTGGGACACTCTTGTGGAACACTCTTGTGGGACACTCTTGTAGGACACTCTTGTGGGACACTCTTGTAGGACACTCTTGTGGGTCACTCTTGTAGGAAACTCTTGTGGGACACTCTTGTAGGACACTCTTGTGGGACACTCTTATAGGACACTCTTGTGGGACACTCTTCTGGGACACTCTTGTAGGACACTCTTGTGGGACACTCTGTGGGTCACTTGCAGGACACTCTTGTGGGACACTCTTGTGGGGCACTCTTGTGGGACACTCTTGTAGGACGCTCTTGAAGGACACTCTTCTGGGACACTCTTGTGGGACACTCTTGTGGGACACTCTTGTAGGACACTCTTGTGGGTCACTTGCAGGACGCTCTTGTGGGACACTCTTGTGGGTCACTCTTACACGACACTCTTGTAGGACACTCCTTGTGGGACACTCTCATAGGACACTCTCGTGGGTCACTCTTATGGGACACTCTTGTCGGACATTCTTGTGGGACACTCTTGTAGGACACTCTTGTGGGACACTCTTCTGGGACACTCTTGTAGGACACTCTTGTGGGACACTCTTGTAGGACACTCTTGTGGGTCACTTGCAGGACGCTCTTGTGGGACACTCTTCTACGACACTCTTGTAGGAAACTCCTTGTGGGACACTCTCATAGGACACTCTTGTGGGTCACTCTTATGGGACACTCTTGTCGGACATTCTTGTGGGACACTCTTATAGGACATTCTTGTGGGGCACTCTTGTGAGACGCTCTTGCAGGACACTCTTGTGGGGCACTCTTGTGGGACACTCTTGTAGGACACTCTTGTAGGACACTCTTGTGGGACACTCTTGTGGGACACTC